CAGTGACTCGTGAAAAATTGCTCTTGAGGGTCAAAGATTTCATACAGACATACTACCTGCCCGCCCATTTGTGCAGGTGGAAGTGCTTTAAACCTATGAATTGTGTGAAAATTCTAGCTTGTATTTTTTGTGGAAACAAAGAATTCCACATCATGCTGCATACAGACATTGTGCATAAACAATTTAATGTGTTCACCCTCTTCCTGAATTTTGATAACTTTCCTCTCCTTTACCAAGTAGATCAGCTTACTTGTCTGCTCTTGAAAATTAAAACAGAGGGACATTCCTTTACTAAGGTGTTTTTTTTGTTTATCGTTGATTAGGTTTTGTTAAACTAGGAAAAAATAGCCCATTACTGGTGGATCCTAGCCCTATCCTACCACTCCCCTGAGTAGTCTCAATCCTTCCCCTGAGCCACTTAAGTTGGAGGAAGGCTCCATAGGCTGAAGGAACGATTCTGGAAGGAAGGTTGGATCCACTCCACTTCCTTGAATTTGGCAGAATACAAAATGGAACCAAGTTATTTCTTTATTTGTTACATTTATATTCCACTTGTATTCTACCTTTCTTCCTTTATCGATGCAAGGCAGCTTACATAGGAGTCCGCTGGAGATCTTTCACCTAGCCATTAATGAGACCCAGATCTGCTTGGCTTTGCCAGGGATTGGACTGGAAATCACATGAGCAGCACCTATTAGCATGCATATATAGCCAAGGACCCATGCGCAGATGCCTGCTCCTGGGTGCATAGGATCTAGGGTTGTCACCTCCAGGTTGGGAAATTCCTAGACATTTGGGAGGTGGAGCCTGCAGACAGTGGGACTTGGGTGGGGAGGACAGGGGAGGGACCTCGGCAGGTATAATGCCACCGAGGCCACTCTCCAAAGCAGCCATTTTCTCTCTATTGTCTGGAAATTGGTTGTAATTCTGGGAGATCTCCAGGCCCCACCTGGAGGTTGGCTATCCTAACATGATCCCTAGTTGGATTAAAACAATTATGTTTCCAAAAGGGCAACAAACTCTAGTTTCTTTGCAATAAATTCCAGGGCTGTCAATATGACTAGAAACCAATTACCATAAGCTAGGTAAAGGTAAAGGTTCCCTTGCTCGAAAGCCAGTCGAATCCGACTCTAGGGTTGTGGTGCTCATCTCCGTTTCAAAGCTGAAGAGCCAGCGCTGTCCAAAGACGTTTCCGTGGTCATGTGGCCAGCATGACTAAACACCAAGGCGCACAAAACGCTGTTACCTTCCCACCGAAGTGGTCCCTATTTATCTACTTGCAATTTCTTGCTTTCGAACTGCTAGGTTGGCAGGAGCTGGAGCTAGAGATGGGAGCTCACTCCATCATGCGGCACCCGGGTCTCGAACTGCTGAACTACTGACCTTCTACAGCCTGCAGTTCAGTGTCTTAACCACTTGAGCCACCATAAGCTAACTAGACAGTAAAATTCTGGGGATCTGGGAGGAACCGTGCCATCTGCTCATGCTTTTCAATAAAAGTTCCCTACCCTTTGAAACCAGAACTCTTAGGCGCTGGGCCAGTAACATCCCTCTTCCTTCCTCTTCTCTGCATCTGTCTTCCTTCTCTTTTAACAGTCGGTCCCTTTTGCTACTTTTTTTTTTACAGCAGATATTCTTTTATGCTAAAGGAGCTATTCTTGCTGATGAAAATGCACCACAAATTCCACTCCAATGGAAGCAAAGCAAGGATGACAAGCAACTACACTTGTTGTTGTTGTTCAGTCGCACAGTCGAGTCCGACTCTTCGCGACCCCATGGACAATCTCCCGCCAGGCTCTCCTGTCTTCCGCCGTCCTCCGAAGTTGGCTCAATTTCATGTTCGTTGCATCGCTGACACTGTCTAACCATCTCATCCTTTGCCGTCCCCGTCTTCTTTGACCTTCAATCTTTCCCAGCATCAGGGTCTTCTCCAGTGAGTGCTCCCTTCTCATTTGGTGGCCAAAGTATTTGAGCTTCAGTTTCATTATCTGGCCTTCCAGGGAACAGTCACATTTTTTCACACAGGCGTTTCAATGCTATTTATACAGCTAACAGTGTTTCATTCAAGTCCTAGGCTGCGATCATACGCACAATTAGACCCGCCATAGGGGCGAATGTTGGGTAGATTTAAAGGGTGCAATCAGATAACAACATCTGGGAAGCGCCCTCAAGCCGTTGGCAACTCACTCTGCTCCGCCACAGAAGTGGAGTTAAAAGACATTGGGGAAAATCTGGTAGTAAACGGGTTGCGATGGACCACGGATGGAGTTTCCCATTTCTGATCGCTCCAGCGCGCTCTCATGGCGTCAGGATGGTCTGATCAGGCCATCCCGACTCCATGCCATTGTTCCCCCCCCCTTCTCAGTATGCGCATCATCGCAAACTCCATAGGGAGCCCTCAGTGCAGAGATGCAATTTATCAACTCCTTGTTTAAGTGCATTGGAAACAAATGGCAACCCCCCCCCCCCCGACTCACCTGCGGTCGCATCTGATCATGCAGTGGCAGGCTGTGCCCGCAACTACCAAGGACTGTGTGATCGCGCAACTGTGGGTCAAATTCCTCAGGGAGAAAATAGCCTCCCCCCCCCATTTTTTCTGGCACGTATGACCACAACCCTATACTATAGGATGGTAAAAGGGTTGCTTGTTCTCCTGCACAAAATGTAAAAAGAGAGAAAAGGAGTTCTAATAATCACAAATGGCTACAAAAGTGCAGAAAGCATGTTAAGATAGTTAGACCATTAACTATGCTACAAGATAGCCATACTATACCGTGGCGAGTGATGCAATTTGGGTTGCGAGTGATGCAATTTGGGTTGCTAACCATACAACATGCTACGTTCAGCAAAGTACAAAAATTGCACAGAAGCTTGGGACCTGCAGGCACACAACCACTTCTTCAACCACTATAACCAAACATATTTTTAACTTTTAAAACCGCTATCTCCAACAACCAAGCCTTTCTCTTCTCAGCTACTCCTAGGTTTGGTGTATACACACAGCAAAAGGGGCGAGTAGAATGGGCAGCACCACTGCAGACTTCGGGGGGGGGTCATAGTTTTAATGGAATCCTCCCCCATGTAAAAACTCCCTGTAGGTTAACAAAAATATCACGCCAGGGAGAAAAGTTCTGCCTACTCCTTCACATGCCATGCTATCTTTTCACTTACAGGGAATGTTTAATGTGCAGGGATTTTGAAAAATGTAATCCTTCACCGACTGTCTGAAGTAGTAAAGCCCAATTTTTAGCACCACCTGTCCAACACTGAGCCATTTTTTGAGCTCCTACTAGCCAGCAAAACTAGCTACAATTATACATTGAGGGGGGGGGGAGTGCTCAACTGGAAGAAAAGTTTACAGTACAAAATGAAGGAAGACAAACTAGCAATAGGAGTGGGTTTGTTTCTAGAAGTATTTGAGAAATAACGCAGCATCGTGAGGAAAGCAAGAAAAGAGCTTGCGCACAAAGAAAAGAAAAAATGTGATAATACAAGTATGCACCTGGCAGGGTCTCACAAACCTATTCCGCCTCCCACAGCAGGGGTGGAAGGAGGGTAATATATGTTTATTTACTTCATTTATACCCCACTTTTTTGCCCAATGGGGACCCAAAGTCCCCCTTTCCATTTTGTAGTAGATCATCGATATGTAAATTCTTGGCCGATTGCAATGGAAGAGTATGGATCTGGGCTTCTTCTCAGCCATTTTTTCTTCTCTATGCTTGGGACTCTGTAATCAGAGGGGGAGGTTCTCAGCCTCTTGTATCAACAGGTGCAAAGTTTTGCCCAAATTCCTAAGCAGTTCGATGGGCAGTTTGATGTGTATAGATAAGAACAGTTCAGCTTAGCCGAGCGGTTCCTTCGTCTCCAGAACTGCAATCTAAACTACCCAAATAAACCAAACAGTCCAGCAGTGCAGAAGATAGTCTGGTCCATTAAGACCAGCCAGGGCTCTTTTTGTAGAAAAAGCCCAGCAGGAACTCATTAGCATAATGCGTTAGCCGCTGTGTTAGCCGCCCTGAGCCCACTTGCGGGATGGGCGGGGTATAAATATAATAAATAAATAAATAATAGGCCACACCCAAGAGCAGGAACTAATTAGCATATTAGGCCACACCCCTGACAGCACAGGTCATTCGCATATTAGGCCACACCCCCGTGTTACCAGAAGTGTGGTCACCCAGCCACATCCACCTTTTGCTTCTTATTCTCTTTACCTTGTTTGTTGACAAAACCCAGGGCTTTTTTTTTTTTTGGAACAGGAACTCCTTTGCATGTTAGGCCGCACACCCCTAATTGTAGTCAATCCTAATGAGTTTCTGCTGTTGGGTGTGGCCTATTATGCTAATGAGTTCCTGCTGGGCGTGGCCAACTTGGGAGCCAGCCAGAACTCCGTTCCTGTGTGTTCCTGCCCAAAAATAGCCCTGAGAACAGCATATGTGAAGGGATCATAATTAATGTCACATGAGATGTCACTCTTAATTCCAAAGCAATAACATTTATAAGGCTGCTTAAAACAAGTTAATGTGTCCGGCATGGAAGAGAAAAATATAAGTAGAAACACAAAACTAGTCTCAAAACTCCTCACTTTTCTTTTTTTTGGTGCATCCCAACAAACACTTCAGATAAAAGTCTGTAGTGCTTCTTACAGGTCCAGATTCATATTCTCACTTCAAGGAAAGAGGTTTCTCTATAACTTCACCAGTTTGTGGGTTGATACCATTCTAGTTTTAATTTTAAGAAACCAGTTGCTCTCACTACATTCATATTCAAGTTGCTTTCCCACATTTCACATATACATTCTCAAGCTCAGGGATTCCCAAATCTTTAAGGAACTAGATTTAAAGGTGGAAAAAAAACCTTCACAAATCATTTCACTGCTGTCAAGTTTCAGTTTTCCACAATGCTGATTGTTGGAGAGAGAAACAGTGATTCTCTGTACTCAGTTCCATTTCTTCTGCTCTTTTTTTGCTAGGTCTGCTGAACTTCCTGGAGACACCAGTTATGGAAACAGGCTCAATTGCTCCTGATTCTACGACATGCCAAAGTAATAACTCCGCTTGTGATTTATACGAACATGAAGATTCAGCGCGTATCTTACTGCCTGTATTCTACAGTGTAATTTTCATAATAGGAGTACTTGGAAATGTACTTGCTCTCACTGTGGTCATTAAAAACAGGAAAAAGATCAACTCTACCACTCTTTACTCTACAAATCTTGTTGTCTCAGACATTCTTTTTACTACTGCTTTGCCTGCGAGAATTGCATACTATGCAATGGGCTTCCACTGGCCATTTGGAGAACTACTCTGCAAACTCACCGCGCTCGTCTTTTACATCAACATTTATGCCGCTGTGAACTTCATGACATGCTTGAGCATTGACAGGTTTGTCGCTGTGGTCCATCCACTGCGCACCAGGATCAGAACAGTAAGATGCGCCACATATATTTGTTGCTCAGTGTGGTTTCTTGTATTAGCACAGACTCTCCCATTGCTTACACAATCCTTGTCACACGAAGAAGGTAAAAGAAACACATGCATGGAATATCCAAACTTTGAAAAAATACCAAATCTCCCTTGGATGCTCCTTGGTGCCTGTTTACTTGGATATGTAATTCCCCTTGGGATTATACTGGTCTGTTATTCTAAAATTAGTTATAAACTCTATCAAAATGCCAAGAAAAATCCACTCGCTGAAAAATCAGGAACAAACAGAAAGGCCATCAATATAATTATTTTCATCATTGTCGTCTTCATTGTTTGTCTCACGCCTTATCATGTTGCCATTATCAAACATATGATTACAAAGATTATGTTTGGAGAGTGTGATCTTGAATGCAGTACTCAAAAACTCTTCCAGAAGACCCTCCACTACACTGTGTTCCTGATGAACTTAAATTGCTGTTTGGATCCTTTAATCTATTTCTTTGCATGCAGAGGATACAAAAGTACAATACTGAGAATCTTGAGACGTCAAGGAAGCTTGTCATTGTCGAGTATGGCTCGAACAGGTCATGAAGAAAGCTCCCGTGACATTGGAGATGCGCACACGGCTACTGTTACAACAGAACTAAATGGAAAACGATGACTCCAAAGGAACATTTGAAGCATACTTCCAAGACACTTGATTTAAAAAAAGAAAAAGTTGCAACAGCAAAAGGCTTGAACTACTCTTTCTTTAGAAAGCCAATATTCTGACTCTCCCAAGAGCAGGGGAGCAGCTCAGGGACCACATACATCAGTGACAAGAAAAGGGAAATCAGATTCCTTGTTTTGTTTTGTTTTTAATTTGTATACTTCTCAGGAAAACAGTTGCTTAGGATGCTTTCACCGTAGATTGTTACAGAACATCCATTTCTGTACATTTCCATTCCTGGATATTAGAAATGCAAGCCAGAGGGATAAATCACATTATGAACTGGTTCTCTTGACACAGAAACAGACAGAAACCAAACTGATTTCCTTTGAATGACTGTACTCCAATACATACATTTTACAACTGTCACAACAGCAAGCGATAGATACAAAGGCAGTATCTGGAAGGAAACATTTAACAATACTTCTGTGTTGATCAGTAGACAATGGCATAAAATAATCACATAATTAGAAAAGCTTGTGTGTTTTCGGGAGAGAGTATACAGTAAGTACACAGCTGTACGTAATTCTCAACCATTGGTCTGCAGCATTCAAACCGTTTACTCCACAGCAGTCTTGTTGCCATTTCTGCCTCTAGTCCACAATAAATACTTCTAGGATTCTACATTTTCATTTGTTATACTGTAAATCCATGGCTGCCCTTGAGCCAAACTGAGCCTAAAAAGGAACGCTGTTGGGCCCACAAAATAAGTTCGCCCCATCTGCTGGAGATATCCAACCAGCCCTTCAATGCCCTAGCATGAAGAATAAATCACACGGTGGGCACCAACATGATCAACCATGTGACTAATACAATAACCCCTCCCACCCAGGAATATGTTTCAAAGTGGCAATAAGCTGACTGCAACAGTTGGACAGAGCAACCAGAGGGAGGGGGGGCCAGGAGCTGGAATGACTGAGGAGGGGAATTCTTCCACAGACGAGGTGGTTCAGAGGAAGTCACACACTGTCCAAGCCCAAACCTCTCCAATTTGTTTGCTTCTTAAAGGATAAAATGCCACCATATTTCACCCCTTGTCAGACAACGTCTGAATGCACCAGCTTGCACTTTTTTAACCTTTACTTTTTATAATGCTTTGTTCCTTTGTATCCTAATCCTAGAACTTTAACTTGTTTTTTTTTAAGTGGACTGATTTCCTTTTTCAGAACCGGGTGACTATGACATGTCTCTGGGCAGGATTTCTTTCTTTTAAAAAAATGCTAACCAAATGCATAGCCAATTGCGGCAGAAGAGAAGCCAAACACTTGGTTGACATGGAGGTGAGGGATTTTGCAAAGTCAAAAAGGAGGAGCAAACCTATGAAATTCCTGTGGGATCAGAAAATATAAAAAATGCAGGGGGGAGTATTTAACAAAATGTGGATTGGTAAACAAGATTTTAAAACACTGAACTAAACTTTTTTTAAAAAATCCTCTAATAGGATAACTGAAGGAGACAGAACAATGGCAGAGGTGAAGTCTATTACTAAATATATTTTTCCGTACAAATAAGATGGCAGAAAGTGTAGTACCTGGTTTTACAAGGTACTAACTTTCCATCTTAAAAACCCAGGAGAAATACAGAGTGGGGCAGTGCACAGAATAAGTTTTGGATGGTGCAAGCTTTTACACTATGGTACTTTTGGGGACAAACATGAAAATTAGCTAGAATGTTTAATTATGGGTCTTCTCCACATTGGCTTGCTCCTTGTGTTAATGCAGATCAGCGGTTTGAGTTCTAACTAGAACAAGGACACGAGTGAATGCATCAACCAATTTCTGTGCAGCTTTCCAGTTTAAGAACTTCATGTTTTTTTGCCATGCCTTTTGCCTGTTTCCAGGGTTCAACACTTGAGACAAGAAGTGTTGGTGAAATGTCTGTAAAAATCTTACGAATATCTACTCAAAGTATATAAAATATATATATAGCACAATAAAACAAAATACTAACAAAAGCAACATTTTTTTTACTGTTTTACACTTTCTTTATTTTTCTCAGATGTTTTAAGTTTAGAATCGAGAAAAGCTAAGACTACAAAAAGAATTTTAAAGCGCCAATCGTAGGTGGCACCTCGGCAAAGCAGGCCTGTGTTTTAAAAACAGCTATCACAAATTTAATGTCAAACTGACAGCTAAGACTTTGGCATCATAAAGGACTTCAGAACTGGCTCATTTGTGTAACACCAGTTGGAGGCTACAATTGCCTACACCTTCTGTTGATGGAAGGTGTAGTGGTTTGGTGTAGTGGTTAAGTGTGCGGACTCTAATCTGGGAGAACCGGGTTTGATTCCCCACTCCTCCACTTGCACCTGCTGATGTGACCTTGGGTCAGTCACAAGCTCTGGCACAGCTGTCCTTGAAAAAGAGCAGTTTGTGTCAGAGTTCTCTCAGCCCCACCCACCTCACAGGGTGTCTGTTGTGGGGAGGGGAAGGGAAAGGAGTTTGTAAGCCGCTCTGAGACTCCAAGTAAAGGGCGGTGTATAAATCCAATCTCTTCTCTTCTTCTTCTTCTTCTACAACGGCCCTGCCACCCTCACCCCCCAATGCTGCTCCAGGGGGATGTGAAAGTAGCTTGGTGGGGGCGAACCTGGAGGCTTGCTGTGGGAGGGAGCAATCAATGAAAATCCTTCCCCCCCCTTATGCAGGTGGACATTTTAGGTAGGATCCAACCCACAGCCTTTTTCAGTTAAAAAAAATTATATGTGACCTAATTAAAGTCAAGAAATTTTAAAGTTTCTCCAATTTAAACTGGAGAAAATTAAACATGCCACTAATTCTTCTACTGCAACCAAGAGGAGCTAATAGTGCCTAACTCTGGATGGACCGCACATTTTTATTACTTGGCGATATCTGTGTTGGCTGTCAGAGAACATTTAAATCCTATGTTCTTCTTGCAGTTCTGCTGGTTGTTGTGATTTAAGCCTTAGTAGTTTTAGAAACAGTTATTTACAGGGGCTATAAGGCAAGATTTGAATGTAACACGCATTAGGAACTCTTTGGCTCATATTTGTAAGTTTAAGCACAATAGAAAGCATATCGTTTAACATCAGTGCACATCTGGACTATAGTTCCTGGGGGTGGGGGCAGGATCAGGGGAGGACTGCCGCCTTCATAAACTTTTCATGGGCAGGATTGCCAGATCCAGGTTGGGAAAATTGGGAGACTTGGGGGTGGAACCTGGGGAGGACAGGGACCTCAGTGGGGTACAATGCCATAGAGTCCATCCTCCAAAGCATCCCCTTTCTCCAGGGGAATTGATTTCTATAGTCTGGAGATGAGCTGTAAAACCAGGGGGGATCCCCAGGTCCCATCTGGAGGCTGGCATCCCTAATGGAAAGGAAGGTTCTGTACTAGATGGACACTTGGCCTGACCCAGCAGGACTCTATAATTTTATTCCATTAACTTAAATGAAAGAGAGAACTAAGCCGGCCAACCTCAAATGCAACGGAAGAAATCCAGAATAACACGAAAGAGGTGTCACTTCTGTCCTCCCATAGGCAGCTGCAGAGTGGCATCAAAAGGAAGCGCAGACCAGTGACCACAAAACAAACCATTAGAAGAGTCACACATTTCAAACCTTGTTTTAACAACTGCAGCTGGGGGGGGGGGGGTTGGTCCACAAAAAGCTAAACGGAATTAGCATCTTTTCTACCCGTTATGAAAGAAGGCTGGTCCTCCCTCTTCTGAACGAATGCTCTGCCGCCCTGGGCCTAATGCCAAGCCAGAAAGCTCTGGTTCTTATCCTAATTCTCATCCCCCCAAAATCACATGATGTGGTTTCCCAGCCTGCTTTTATTCCCACCTTGCCATCATCATAATCATTACATTTTGCAGGAAATCTAGTTGTTTCTCTCCTAGGAAGCAGCAGACTTCTTCCCACCCAGTATTCACGGATTTTGTCATTTGTGGCGATTGTGGGAACGGATCCCTTGCAAAGAGAGAGGGTCTGCTGCACTTTCAGGCCTTGCTATTACTGCCCAACAATGGCTAACTTCTACAAATTATGCCTAGAAAAATTATGTCAAAATAATGCATGAATTTAAACTCCAGCCTTCTGCTGTTCGGCCTGTTGTTTGTGCTGGCAAGGCGTTAGGATAGGGAGCACGGGCTGGCTACAAAGTTCTGACATCTCAAAGCGATGCCTCATGAGCTCCTTCTGTGGTTTCACAGTGGGTAAAAAAATAGGAAGTTAAGTCTGGTGACTGATCTGGCAGTGCTCATCACATCAAGAACGGCCTGAAAAGGCAGAGAAGTACCTTATTCCAGAAAACATCTACAGTATATTTAAATGTGATAGACTGAGAAAAAATATTACAGATGAGCAAGTAATCAGCAATAGTATTAACTGCAGATGCCAATCCTAGAATCCTTTTCCTAAATGCGGAATTATTATTGCACATTCATCCCCCTTCTTCCTCCCAAAGAGCTGACAGCAATGTACATATTCCTGCCTTCTTCCATTTCATTTGTCCCATCGATCCAACGTCACCCAATAAGCTACACTGCTGGGTAGAGATCTGACCTCAAACCTCCCAGTCCTAGCCCACTACTCTAATAATTACAGTACACAGGTTCTCCAGTATCAATATGAAATGATCTCTTGAACAGAAAATCAGTCAGTCAGTCAACCTTTATTGGCACAGATAAAATATAGCATGGATCACATTTTAAAGTGCATATCAAAGTTATGTAAATATAAACAGTCAATCCACCGGGGCTTTGACCTTATATTCTCTTACCCTCATAGCGATAGGAAGAAATTGCGCGAACAGAAAATCAATATACAGAATTCTCAACATGGCTCTATCCGTGGATACCTAAATTGAGAGACTGGGGCTATGATCAAAGGTCGATCTTTCTACACAACTGAAAGAACTGCAGGTTTGAGGAAAAATCTGAAATCTTTAAAAAGAAAACAAAACACTGGGGGGTTATCCCCCAAATAATAGAAA